AATAATTGAATTCTCGTAGAATTTTCTTATAAAAATTTATTTTAAAATGAATTTCGGTTAAAATTTTAGATAATAATTTTAATATAAAAGCATTAAAACTTTCTGGCAAAATATTTTTTTTGCAATATATATTTCATTAATCAGTGCAAATTCTGGACATTATCAAAAGGTCAAGTACGATCGCGTGCAGGTGTTTCAAATTATTAACTAAACTTCCAAGAATTGTTTCGCGTGTAGAACGTAGAATTTATTTATCAACTTGAGAGTGTGAATAAATTTTAAAATATGTGAAAAATGATTTTTTTTTATTATTCATTTACTTTTTCTTTTCCTCCCCACATTATTTTTTTTTATGGCTTGCGAAAGGGATTTTTTTAAAGAGAGATTTCCGCGCGACTGAATGGCGCTCTGATTTTGCAATCAACTTTTGTAAAATATTCCATAATTGAGACTTTAAACTCTCAACAAAAGTTTATTAGCTGAACATATTTGGAAATCAGCCAAGAATATATATGCTGTAGAGTCATTTCGTAACGTGCCCTTCGACGGCACAATTTCCGCTTCCGCTTATACTTAAAAAAAATTATTATTCTATATGAATTAAAAATTTTATTCGCAACTTTATTCAAAACTTTATTCATTTAATTAGCATGATCGATAAATTTCGACAGACTGCAAAAAATACATGTGCAATTAACAGTAATTAACAGAGGGGAGAATTTAATTTAATATTTTTTTTATTGATGCAATATTTCACTAATTTTTTTTTCTTTCTTTATTTTTTTTCTGAAATCAAACAATAATATTATTTAATTGATTTGGTGGAATTGATGTACATTGGATTGAATTGATATACATTTAATTTGCTTGAAACAAGGACAACGTTTAATCCACGTACAAAAGCAATGTGTTGAAATACAAGGCGTATTTTTGCATGCATGCAGTCTTTAGAAAAATAGAGATCTCTGGAGGAAAGCCAAAATCCAATCGTATGACTAACAGTCAAATAAGAATTTTATAGTTCACTAGTACCTGACCCTTAAGGCAGTGAAAAAAATTCTTCAAACAATAGTCATAGAGTAAAAGGAGGCATTTGAACGAAAATAATTCTATGATCATCAAGTTCCATAAATTAGCACAATTATTAATTTTTTTGAGTAATTATTTTTTATTCAATTTCTTTGGTAATCATTTTGGTTCTATATACATTTATTATTATCAGGTTTACCAAAGATCAGAAAAATCAGCGGGAATTCAGGGAAAAGTCTTAGGAAAAGTAAAATTAGTCGGGAAATCAGGAAAAAGTTAGAGAATTTTATTAAAAATACTTGAAAAAAATAAATTTTTAGGATGCATTAGAAAATATTTGACTTTTGTGTTCTTTGAAGTTTTTTGGCTTTGAAGTTTGTCTAAAGTAGACTACTTCATAGGATTTTCCAGTTTTTTTGGAAAACAATGAAAATTGTGGGCGTTTCCGAAAATTCATATTATTTTTTTTTCTATTTTGTATCATTAAATAAACGAGTCGTTAAACCTGTAAAAGTCCGAGAATATAAATGTAATTTTAAAAACCTGGAAAAATTCCGTTTTTTACACTGAAAAAAAATTTATTTCATTCAAATAAGTGATCAATTGACTATATTATCAAATAAATATTTATTATAGAGTCAATTAAATGGTATTTGAACCAATCATTTCAGTATTTAAAGCAAATACCATTTATTTGACTCCAATAAATAATATTTGATTCAATTAAATATTTATTTGATAATAGTCAATTGATCACTTATTTGAATGAAATAAATTTTTTTTCAGTGTAACCTGGAAAAGTCAGGGAATTTGAAAAGAGCAAAAGCGTGGCAACCCTGAAACTATTCGTTAAAAATTATTTTGAAATTTAGCGTGGTCTTCCTTAAGTATTTTGACATTGAAGTTTACCTATAAAATAACATATTTTACAGTTACAATAACCATAAAATATTTATCAAAAAAAAAATTATTAATGCTTCAAATAAATAAAATAATATACCTAAAGTTGATAAAAAGTAAAATTCACTTTAATTCTCAAATGAAAACATTAAAGTCCCTTAATACAATATCTTAAATGTTTCGATAAAAGTGTCGCTCGGAAAAAGGACTTTTGTACATAATCTCTTAATTAAGTCAAAGCTACCAACCTAAATGATAAAGCAAAAATTCACGGGTAATTTATCTTTGAAGAAATTTAATGTAGGCATTATCATTACGCCTCGGTGCGATGATCGCATCCTTTTTGCTTCCATATAAAAAAAAATCGTCGTCGTCCCTGCAGTTTCCTGCTTGAAGAACTCAAGGGGGAAGTGTTTTTCTATAAAAGGAGCCAGGTGAACGAGTCAGGCAACAACCTTGCCTGGCGCCCCGCAAAATGTATAAAAGAAAGTTTTCTGTCCCAAAAAAAAAAAATTGTGGAAGCTGGAGATCAGTGTTGTATCTGAAATTAATACAAAAATATATAGCAAACGATGATTCATCACTAAATAAATTACTATTAATTTTCTTCCATGGAATTTTTTTATCCATCAATGATTTGAATGGAAAAAATCATTTTCATTTGCCGGTGTGACACTGCCGATTTTGAAATTTAGTAAATTATGTAAAAACTAAAAAGTAGTAAGAATTTTGAAAATTTTCAAAGATTTTAATTTAAAACCTTTTCAAAATTCAATTATTTTCAAAAAATCACGTTATAATGATTTTAATATTCAAACGGAATCTAAAATTTTATAAATGAAATTAATGTTTAAATCAATGTTTAATCGAAAATTCTACGAGAATTCAATTATTTAAATAGAAAATTAAATACAATTTATTGAATAATTGAATGTTTCTTAAAATTAAATTTTCATAAAGAATTTTATTAAAACTTTTTAAATAATTGAATTTTTTCGAAGAATTTTAATAACATTTTTTAAAGAATAAACACATTTTTATAGAAATTCGATTAAAATTGTATTAATAATAAATGAAATTCTGCAATGAGTTTTATTATTTATGAAAATAATGGAATTCCTAAAAAGAATTTTATTATTTACGAGAAGAATTATTGAATCTTGTCAAAATTTTATTATTTATGAAAATAATTTAATTATTGCGAATAAATTTATAAAAAATTTGTAAATAATTGAATTGCTGTGAAATTTTTATTATTTTATATGAAAATAATTAAATGTTTGCATAGAATTTTATTACAATTTTTTAAACAATTGAATTCTTTTGCGGAAAATTTTATTAAAATAGTAGATAGTGAAAATCATTGAATTGTAGGACAATTTTTGAAAATAATTAAAATTTTGTAAAAGAATTCAATTTAGGAGAAGAATTTTATTTATTTACAAAAATAATTGAAATTTTGATAATTTTTTTGAATTTTTGAACATATAATAATTAAATTTCTAAAAAGAATTTTATTTCTTTTGAAAATAATATTGAATTTCGGAGCAGAATTTGATGATTTATAAAGATAATTGAAATTTTGACGAGAATTTTTGTAAATTTTTGAACATAATTGAATTTCTTAGAAGAATTTTATTATTTTTGAAAATAATTAATTGAATTTCGGAGCAGAATTTGATGATTTATAAAGATAATTGAAATTTTGACGAGAATTTTTGTAAATTTTTGAACATAATTGAATTTCTTAGAAGAATTTTATTATTTTTGAAAATAATTAATTGAATTTCGGAGCAGAATTTGATGATTTATAAAGATAATTGAAATTTCGACTAGAATTTTTGTAAATATTTGAACATAATTGAATTTCTAAGAAGAATTTTATTACTTTTGAAAATAATTGAATTTCGGAGCAGAAACAGAATCTGGAAATCATGGAAATCATGGAAATGGTATGGAATTTTTAAAATGCTTCTGGAAATCAGGGAAATCATGGAAAAGGCCTGGAATTTTTTATAGTTTCAAAATTTTTCCTGTTTTCCATTTTTTCTCTTGAATAGAAATTCAAATAATAATGAAGCTAAATGACATAAAAGAGAGGAAAAAATGTTGAATTTTAAAAAAATCGGTTTTTCGAATTTTTGATAATTTTCGATAATTTTAGATTTTTCACCAAAGAGTCGAGACTATTAAATAAGTAAAGTATTTTTCAAGAGCACAAAAATAATGAAGCTAAATCCCATAAAAGAGAGGAAAAAATGTTGAATTTTAAGAAATTCGGATTTTTGAATTTTTGATAATTTTCGATAATTTTAGATTTTTTTACCAAAGATTCGAGACTTTTAAATAAGTAAAGTGTTTTTAAAGAGCCAAAAAATAATGAAATTAGATTTAAAATTCCACTGGAATTTCGTAAAAATTTGACCTGTAAATCATGGAAAAGTTATGGAATTTTAAATTCGGATTTCTGTAGGAATCCTGTAATTGAAATTTTGACAAGAATTTTTTACAATTTTTGAACATAATGGAATTTCGGCAATTATTTGTAATTTCTCTAAAATTCTCCAAATTGTATCGTATCAATAATTTACGAACTTTTCGTCCTTATTCAATCAAATTACGGACACGCACCTTTTTTTAAAAAAAACTGACTTTTACGGATTTGAAGCAAATTTGCGGACCTTTACGGACTTAGTTCAAGCACTGAAGAAAAGTGCAAAAATTCGTAAAAAAAAAAATGAAAATTTATCTCATTGTTAAAGAGGCCACGTGCTTCGGTGTTAGCAGGTAGACAGCAGAGTTGACATTTCAGTTTGTAGTGCACGTGTTTTGCTAGACAACATATTATACGTAACCTCTCGTATAAAGTAGCGCCACCTTTTGAAAACATCATCATCATCATCATCGTCGTCACAAATTTTGCCCCCCTTCTTCTTTTCTCTCCGAAAAAAAACACAATTTTCTTTCTTGTATTTTTCTCCTTTCAAAAATGATTCTCTAAAGAAATTATGTTGAGTCTGTAGAAACTTCTCATCCATTGATCATTGTAGAACTCTCTGGAAGTTTCTGGTGACTGCGTTTGCGCGCGCATCACGTGGTGTCGCAGTGCCAACACATTTAAGTTGTTCCCCCGCCTTCTCGTATGACAGTATCTCAATAGTTTTCAGTGGGTTTATGCGTGATCTCACGCGTTTTTTTTATATTCTATATGCAGAATTTAAAGTGCATTAAAGATTGTCATCAAAAAACTAAAAAGTATTCTTAGTGACCAAAGTGAAAAAGTGATAAGTTCTCTAAAATTCATTTGTTTAGAGACTAAAATTAAACCCCCCCGCAAAACCGAAGTGAAAGAGAGAGAGAGAGAGAGGAAACAGGAGGAACAATAAATAATCTTCAAATTTTCTGACTGGAGAGAATCTGGCATAATCATTTAAATAATCGGTAACTGACAAGATTTTAGAAGCGTGTTGGCATCGCTCGCATAACCTCTACCGGCATTTTTTTAGCGAGCTTCTTTAGCCATTTTAAAGCAAATCAAAATTCATTAATACGAGGCTATTTTTGGAAAAGAAAAAAATAGTCTTAGTCAATAAAAAATCGTGTGATTTTATAAATTAAAAAAAAAAGGAATAATCACGTTTCTAAAAGAGTCCATAAGAGCTATGGACTCGCCTGTCATGCTGGACAACGCATCCAAATTCGGACGAAGGATCGATCTGGATTGCGATTTCCCTGTAAGTGCCCTTTCTCAAGAAAAAAAAAAAATTTCCTCCTATTTCAAATTTGTTGAAATTTTTTTTTAACTTTCCTTCCGTGTCCCTCCCACGAATTTTTCCAAATCAAGGTGACATGCGCGATATATAATAAAATTTTCGTCAAGGTTCCTTCTTCTAGATTGTTCGAATATCTCTCAGCTTCTTTTTATAATAAAACTTTTCTCGTTTTATAATTCTTTACTGAAAAAAAATGAAAGTACTTTATAACGTATAATATTATCTAATTCTCTTGATCAAATTCAACAATCTACCGAAAGTGCCAATTACATGACTCAGAATCATTTTCTAATGGAATTCCAAAGAAAAATTCTTTATACCAAAACATACAAAAATTTATTGCACTCAAATTAAATATTTATGAGAATTTTCGCAAAAATTTTAAAAATATATTAATTTTTTAATATACTCATTGCAAAAATAAACAATTTTTTTCTAAATTGATATATCAAATATATAATGAATGTGGATAAATTATTAAAAGCTTTGCTTACTGCTTGCTTCTCTTTGCAAACAATTTTTTTCCACTCACACAATATCCGAATTCGTAGTCGCAAAAAATGAAAAATTTACCCATTTTCTAAAAAAAAAATTTGACTTATTATATTTATTATTGTCATGATGTCAATTTTATTTGCGATATTGTTTTTTTTCTGTTTGCCGTGCATTTTTCACGTTAAAAATTGTTGCTTAGTATCAGTTTCATTTTTGTTTCCCCCGCGTTTGGACGATGTTACGTGGAAGTTAGAAATAACTTTTCTGTCCAATGACGTCGAAACTCATACTACCTTAATGTTTTAAAGTGACGATTCTTTTGGCCTGAGTTTTTTTGATATTTTCAGTCAATGTATAGTTTTTTTTATCACCTGGCTTATGATTCATTTGGAGAAAAATAAAATATATATGTCAATCACACAATAGAAAAAATGTCCATAAATTTACCGCATAATCAGAGGAAAATTATGAAATTTGTTATTCATGCGTTAATTCTCCTCATGCACTGTCAGGATGGAAGCATTATTATTATTATTATTATATTCATATATTAACTATATTCCCGCAGTATATTAAAATAATACACTAGGAATTAATTTTCTGGAATAATGAATATTTTTTTGCTTTTCTGCTTATGACCTAATATTTTGCTTATTTAATGACCTAATATTTTCTTTATTATTCCAGTTCTTTATTTTTTCTCGATATATTTAAATATAATTATATTCATTATTAGCCAATTTATTATCCAAACTTCTTTATTTATTCTTATTTCTTAATTACTTAATATTTACTTTTTTTATTTATTAATTACCTAGTATTTTTTTTAATTTTCTTTCTTTGGTTTCAATATTCTTATATTATTAACCAAATTTCTTTTATTTATTGCTTAGTTAATATTTTTTTTATTTTTCTCTTTCTTTCTTTTTTCAATACTTTTATTATTACCCAAATTATTATCTAAATTTTCTTTATTCTTTTAAATTTTATTAGTTATTAGTCAGACAATGAGAAAAACGATAAAAAATGTAAAGAAGATTATTTACTTATTTAAAATCCAAAAATTGAACAAAATTATCTGATGATAAGTAGAGAAAGGAAATCAAGAAGGACGATAGTTCATTTCTGAGTAGAAACAGTTGTTATTAGCCAGACAATGCGAAAAAAATTAGTTAAGTAGTTTATTTACTTATTTAGAATCCAAAAATTGAACAAATTATCTGATAATAATGTAGAAAAAAAATCAAGTAGAACGATAGTTAATTTCTAAGTAGAAACAGTTGTTATCAGCCAGACAATGAGAAAAACGATAAAAAATATATAAAGTAGTTTACTTTATTAAAAAAATCTAAAAATTATACTTAACTATTTGATAAGTAGAAAAAGGTAATCTATTGCGGGACAAATATTTTATTTTTAAGTAGAAATGGTTTATATCAGTCAGACAATGAAAAAAAGTAAAAACAATTATGTTACATACTTCATTTACGTTTTTATACGAGAAAATTAACCAAAGTTATCTGATATAAGTAGAAAAAGAAAATAAAGTGGGACAATAGTTTGTTTTAAGTAGAAACGGTTGTTATGTGTCAGACAATGAGAAAAATGATTTAAAAAAATATGAAAAGAAGTTCATTTACTTATTTAAAGTCCAAAAATAATATAAAATTTATTTGTTAAGTAGAAAAAGGAAATCAAGTAGGACAACAGATCGTTTCTAAGTAGAAACAGATTTTATCAGTCAGACAATGAGAATAACGATAAAAAATACGTAAAGTAGTGTATTTTCTTATTTAAAATCTAAAAATTATATAAAATTAATTTGATAAATAGAAAAAGGAAATCAAATATGACAAGAGTTAATTTCGAAGTAGAAACTGTTGTTCCTAGCCAGACAAGAAGAAAAACGATATAAAAATTGAAAAGAAGTTTATTTACTTATTAAAAATCTAAAATTTATACACAACTACCTATTTTAAAAGTAGAAAAGGCAATCTGTTTGGACAATATTTTACTTTTAAGTAGAAACAGTTGTTAATAGTCAGACATCGAGAAAACACAATAAAAAATTAGTAAATTATTTTATTTTTAGTTACATAAAATCCAAAATATAAAAACTATAATTTGATAAGTAGAAAAAGAAGATCAAGTAGGACAGTGGTTAATATCTAAGTAGAAACAGTTGTTATTAGTCAGACAATGACCCAGGTGCGAATTTTGGTCGGCCGCCAGAGTTGGAAGGTCGGGCGCAGGTCGGCCCATCTATGGCTGCCAATAGGTCGGCAGCCAAAGTCGGGCCGACTTTGGTTACTGTTTCCACCCAAGTTTGGGCCGACTATGGGTGCCAAAGTTTAGAGAACCTAATTTTAGTTGGTCGGGCCGACTCTGGCCTCAGTCGGGCCGATGGTCGGTAAAACTATGGCAGCCAGAGTTTAGAGAACCTAATTTTAGTTGGTCGGGCCGACTCTGGCCTGAGTCGGGCCGATGGTCGGCTAAAGTATGGCAGCCAGAGTTTAAAAAGGTTAATTTCTGTTGGTCGGGCCGACTCTGGCCTGAGTCGGGCCGACGGTCGGTAAAACTATGGCAGCCAGAGTGCAAAAAACCTAATTTCACTTGGTCGGGCCGACTCTGGCCTGAGTCGGGCCGATGGTCGGTAAAACTATGGCAGCCAGAGTTTAGAGAACCTAATTTTAGTTGGTCGGGCCGACTTTGGCCTGAGTCGGGCCGATGGTCGGTAAAACTATGGCAGCCAGAGTTTAAAAAGGTTAATTTCTGTTGGTCGGGCCGACTTTGGCCTGAGTCGGGCCGATGGTGGGTTAAACTATGGCAGCCAGAGTTTAAAAAACCTAATTTCAATTGGTCGGGCCGACTCTGGCCTGAGTCGGGCCGACGGTCGGTAAAACTATGGCAGCCAGAGTGCAAAAAACCTAATTTCAATTGGTCGGGCCGACTCTGGCCTGAGTCGGGCCGACGGTCGGTAAAACTATGGCAGCCAGAGTTTAGAGAACCTAATTTTAGTTGGTCGGGCCGACTTTGGCCTGAGTCGGGCCGATGGTCGGTAAAACTATGGCAGCCAGAGTTTAAAAAGGTTAATTTCTGTTGGTCGGGCCGACTTTGGCCTGAGTCGGGCCGATGGTGGGTTAAACTATGGCAGCCAGAGTTTAAAAAACCTAATTTCAATTGGTCGGGCCGACTCTGGCCTGAGTCGGGCCGATGGTGGGTTAAACTATGGCAGCCAGAGTTTAAAAAACCTAATTTCAATTGGTCGGGCCGACTCTGGCCTGAGTCGGGCCGACGGTCGGTAAAACTATGGCAGCCAGAGTGCAAAAAACCTAATTTCACTTGGTCGGGCCGACTTTGGCCTGAGTCGGGCCGATGGTGGGTTAAACTATGGCAGCCAGAGTTTAAAAAGGTTAATTTCAATTGGTCGGGCCGACTCTGGCCTGAGTCGGGCCGATGGTGGGTTAAACTATGGCAGCCAGAGTTTAAAAAACCTAATTTCAATTGGTCGGGCCGACTCTGGCCTGAGTCGGGCCGATGGTGGGTTAAACTATGGCAGCCAGAGTTTAAAAAACCTAATTTCAATTGGTCGGGCCGACTCTGGCCTGAGTCGGGCCGACGGTCGGTAAAACTATGGCAGCCAGAGTGCAAAAAACCTAATTTCACTTGGTCGGGCCGACTCTGGCCTGAGTCGGGCCGACGGTCGGTTAAACTATGGCAGCCAGAGTTTAGAGAACCTAATTTTAGTTGGTCGGGCCGACTCTGGCCTGAGTCGGGCCGATGGTGGGTTAAACTATGGCAGCCAGAGTTTAAAAAACCTAATTTCAATTGGTCGGGCCGACTCTGGCCTGAGTCGGGCCGACGGTCGGTAAAACTATGGCAGCCAGAGTGCAAAAAACCTAATTTCACTTGGTCGGGCCGACTTTGGCCAGAGTCGGGCCGATGGTCAGTTTGAAGTTGCAGCTTATAAAATCATTTTTGTTCTTAGGCTTTCATGTAAGCGTAGCGTAATGGTTAGCGTGTTAGACTTCGGTGCGTTAGGTTGCGAGTTCGATTCCTGCGAGCGTTAGAAATTTTAATTTGTATTTATGTGTAAGATTGCGTTTAGTGTTAAGATGTATACAATAAACAAATAAATAATGAATAATAATAATTAATAATAATAATAAATAATTAATAATTTTTTGCAATCGGTCGGCCGACTTTTGGCTGCCAAGGTCGGCACGACCAAGGTTGCCAAAGTGAATCCGACCTTCTTTCTCATGGTCGGCAAAGCTTTGGCACCCCTGGTCGGCCCGACTTTGGCAACCATAGTCGGCACGACCATGTCAGCCACTGGACGGCGGGTGTTACAATTCGCTAGTTCGGCCGACCTTTGGCTGCCAAGGTCGGCACGACCATGGTTGCCAAAGTCAAGCCGACATTCTTTCACATGGTTGGCAAAACTTTGGCACCCCTGGTCGGTC